ATTTAAATAATGAAATTTGTTATATACAGCTCAAAATATATATAAATTATATACAATAAATAAAAAAAAGGTTATGAAAAATATTCTTTTAATCGAATCATTAATTTTCCAGATGAAATTTGAGAAATATTAATAGGTGGTCCACTAAAGTCATCTATTTCAAATATAACACATTCCTTAATTACATATAGGCTGCTATCTACTTCATAAGCTTCAAGGTGCAAATGATAACCTGTTATTTTTACTTGTTTGGTTACTATGAAGACTTTATCAATAACATTACTTAAAACTATTAACTCTAAAATTTCAAATAAACATAATTCTTCAACAAACTTTGTTAAGTAGTAACCTCTTTTATGCAAAGTTCCTTTGTATTCTATTTGAGAATAACATTTATAATCTGCTGTTGAAAGAGTAAGTATACTAAACAAAGATTCTGAATATAAACTACAAATATTATGATTTGAATTTACTATTGTCAACGTTGTTTCTGAGCGTAGAAGGTAGTGAGCAAACTTAAATTGAAATTTTTTAGCTAATGTAAGTGTGATATTTTTCCTTGAAGATGTGGAGCGAGCATACATTTTAATTTCTTTATGCTTTCCCTCAAACCTAAAACACCAGTAATGTCTAGGTGGGCCTGAATATTCTATTATAGTAGGATAGTGAATCAAAAAATGATGCTTGGGTTTCAGTGTATCATTAAAAAGTCTAATGTACATTGAATTATGTTGAATAATCAACTGTTTGAGATGTATTATTGTACTTTCAGTGAATGTATATGATAAAAGAATATCAATCATTTTAAGAAGTGTTAAAAAAAAATTCCACACTTCATCGCCTTCTGGAACTAAATCACCTACCATAAGTGAAAAGAAATGAACAAATGTCATCATTTCTCTTGCTGACATTTTTAAATGAAATTTATTAAGATGCAAATCAGTTATATCAGGAGAAATATTTCCAATTTCAATTGGTCCATAATTGAAATTTCTTTTACGACTGTTTAGAGTTTCTAAAGAAAATACTTGAATAGTATTGATAAAATATTTGATGATATGGCACATATCATATCGACAAACACCCTCAAATAAGTCATGCATAATGTCTATACAATAGTTTTTAGTAACATGAAAACTGTAAATTGTATTCATAATGGATTCCTTATAAACACCTGTTTCACTAAATACCAAATTTTCAACATCTTCTGAGTAGTTTTCAATATTTCTTAAGTAAGATACATTCTCTTCATTAAGTTCTTGGCATATATGCTTGTGAGATTTGCAAAACCGACAATAATAGTTTGAAGAAAAAGACTTACTAAATTCTAGTATACTATTAAGTCCCAAATTATCTCCTAAGACTAAGCCAAGTAAAAAGTAAACATGAAAATCTCCTTTTGAAGTTGAAATCGTTAATCCCTCTTTTTCCAATAAATTTAATTCATTAATTAATATTTTTAAGCTAGCATCGTTTCCAAAATTTTTGATATCAGTTGATTTAATTAATGCTGCTAAAAATATATTGGAAAGTTTTGAATTGTTTTGGGCTAAAGGGAAGCTGTAATAAAAAGCAGCTATTGATTGAAATGTAGCGTGTGATCCCAAAGGATTGTTAATTTCAAAGTCATCAACATATAAGAAATAAGGGAGTACTATTTTTCCTTCATACCTTGATACTTTTTCCTTCCATAGTTTCCCTTGTACAAAATTTGAAATGGAACCAAACTTATTTGTATAGTCTATCAGTTGATTGTAAAAAATTTCATAGTTATTATTATATTCAAAAAATTGTTTAAACTGAAATTGTAATGGCAATAAAGTCCCTTTAGTTATTTTTTCATCATACATTAAATTACCGCTGTGATCAACAGGAGCAATTTCATTATTTATATTAAATTGTTTAATCTTAGATATCAAATTATTCTTTTTCAACCAATTAGTTAAATGGTGTTCTGTACCACAATATTGAAAAGGATTTAATATTAAAATCTCAATTTTATGAAAAGTTGAAAGAAGTAATGGTTCTTTGATATCTTTTTCGACAACTTTTTTTAAAATAGAAGCCATTGGCTTCAAAATACATTGTTTGATCCCTGATTGAATATTAACTACATCAACATTATTAAAATTATTGTTATTATAAAGACTCAAAATAAATTTCACAGAAGATTCATAAACAAGATTAATCATCTCATCAAAATTAAATGGAGCATTAGAATTATTATTTGTACAGTTTTTTTCATGTTGATTATCAACTACAAAATCGTCATAGACATCGTTGTTAGTGATGACTGCATTAGGAAAATTAAGTTGTACATTTGGTGATAGATTAGTTGTTGTAGACACATGTTTTTTTGTTACATGCTTTTTAAAGGCAGACAAGCAGTTAAACGATTGAGAACATGAACTCTCACAGCAGGTGAAGGTACTATTTGGCTTTAATAAGTGAATAATTTTATAATGTGTCACTAAAGCTTTTAAATCACCAACAGATACTTTACAAATATAACAAATCATCATGTTGTGTAATTCGGTATATATAACTAGTTATAACTTACCTTAGTACAAGCACTTACCTTAGTACTTCAGTTGTCAACTTTTTTTCAACCATGCGCGTCTCCGTCGGTCAGTATAACGATATAATATTATATTAAGCGACGTAACCAGGCAAGAGTGCAAGAGTGAATAATAAGACTGAATTGAGAATATATTGTGGATACGACAATACGTATATCGCGTTATTTGGCTTAATATAGTCATGGTGATAATGTATTATCAAATTGATAATAGTACTATAGAAAATTCACAATACTAAAGGATAAAAATAGATTTGTCGATTTCAAAATATACGTTTTTCCATATAATTATTTTGATAATTGATATTATCACACCAATAAGAATATTTGTTATTTACAAATGACATATTATCATTATAATATTATAATGTTCGTGCTAACGAAGCCTCCGTTGTTAATATTTAACAAAAGTGGCTTATCAAAATTACCAGTGGTTTTTTTTTCGGTGTATTGTCGGTCACAACACATTCGATAATTCGCTGCCGGTCGTCCGGCGGCTCGTCGGTGTTGGTTCTGCGGCGGAGTTTCGCATCAATGCTTCACTGGATGCGAAATAATATATGAAATAATTATTCACTCTATTTACAAAGAAATAAGAGTAGGCATTTCTGTCTCGTTACAAATAAATATAGTAAGTGATTGAATAGTACACATTTTAGAACATTAGTTAAAATGGGTAATGATAATAATGATAATCGTAAAAACAATTTTTATTAATCACATAGATATCCCAATAACGTTCAACTGATTGTTCAAATTTGACGTTGGTTTGGAATGGATTTCATAAAATATGTTTGTGCGTAGAAAGGAGGAAAATAAAATAAATTTATTATTATAATTGTTATTTACAATTTTTTTTTTCCGGGTTACTAGAAAAACCAAAATATAATAAATTCCAAAAACCACCTAGCAAAATATCAATAAAAACAATTTTAATATTTAAGAAACAAGTTTACTTCAGATTTTGTATTGCTTTTTTTGCAATTTGCTTTTGTGGGACGGCCTTTGGCCTGTTTAAGAGCACCAGGCTAAGCCTTTTCTCTCTGAATGAGGTTATATTTTAGTTGATAGGTTTTGGTCTGTTCATGGGGCTAGGCATGATAAGTGTGGATATTTGCTCCTTGAAAGTGCATGAGCAAGGTTCTTTGATAGGTGGAGTGCTTCGTCTTGGAGGGTTTCGATGGACATTGAGTTCCGTAAGTTTAGATTTGAGACCAGGTAGTGGGCGCCGGTCATGGTACGTAGTGCTAAGGAATGGAAGATCTCAATCTGTTTCCAAGATGATTGGCGAATTCTGTTTCTTCAAATAGGAGCTGCGTATAAAATAATGGGCTTAAGATATATTTTATATATTATCAGTTTGTTAGCCAGCGGAACAGTGCTGTTTCGGTTTAGGATCGGATGTAGTGCAGCCCGGGCACCGCGCGCCTTTCGGATGGTATTTTGGATATGTTTGTCGAAGCTTAGGTCGTGGTTGAAGGTGACTCCAAGATATTTTGCGTGATAGCTCCATTCGAGATGTTGGTTTTGTAATTTTAACTTCATGGTGTGTTTTTGGGATCGAGGCCCAAATATCACTGCCACCGTTTTGGATACGTTTAATTGGATTCTCCATTTGGTGAGCCAGTCGTTCGTGATATCCAATTGTCTTTGTAGCTTGTATACTGCATATTTGTAGTTATGGTTGCTCGTGTAGAGAAGGGTATCGTTAGCAAAGAGAGCCAGTATGACTGGTCCTATGGTCGGGAAATCGTTTATGTAGACCGAGTATAAGAGCGGTGATAGACATGACCCCTGAGGGACACCCGCTTCTGTTACGAGATGTAGATAGGTGATCAGATATTTTGATTTTGAAAGTACGGCCTTTAAGAAAAGATTCAATGAGTAATATAAGTGAGTGAGGAACGTTTGAGAGTGTTAACTTGTGGATGAGTCCTTGATGCCACACACGGTCAAAGGCTTTCGCCACGTCTGGGAAGAGCTACAGTTTTTTCCCCCTTTTGAGACCTTTGGTTCAGGTCGTCAGTCAGTGTGATTAGCTGTGTGACCGTAGAGTGGCCAGTACGGAAAGCGTGTTGTTCACATCTAGTTTTTACATGGAAGTTAAGTTTACGTAGTATTATTCTTTCAAATATTTTAGACATGGTGTTGAGGAGTGATATAGGCCTATGATTGTCTGGCATTTGGTGATTCTTCGTGGGTTTTGGGATCATGACAATTTGAGCTTTTTTCCACTGGTCAGGGAAGTAAGGGAGTCTGAGGCATGACGTGTAAATGTTCGCTAGGAGGATAATTGCAATTTTTGGAAGGTGTTTCAATGCCTTGTTGGTAATGCCATCCTCACCTGGTGCTTTTGCTGAAGGGAGTTCTTTTATTATGTCAGATACTTCTTTCAGCGTAACATAGTCTTCTGATGGAGGATTTACAAGGTCGCGTAGTCTTTGGATTGAGTTGGTGACTTCAGGTGATGGTGGGCCCGGATTGTTTTGGAACTGGGCTGACATTGTGTCTGCGAAAAGTTAGTGTCGTAGATTTTTGTCCCATCAGGTGCTTTGAGAGGTTGACATGCTGGTTGTTTGTGGAGGAGTCGTCGGTTCAATTTGTATATAGATTTGTTTTTGAAATTGAAAGTGGCAGTAAAAGAATTCCATTCAGATTGTCTGTGGCGAGTGAGGATATCTTTGACATGGGAAACCTGTGCGTTGTACAGCGTTTTCACCCGAGGGTCGTGCGTACGTTGCCAGTTTTTCCGTAGTAAACGCTTGGTATCAATCTCAAGCAGTATGTCATCAGGTAGTGATTTTGGTTGGTCTAGTGTTCGCGATTCGTAGGAACAGTTTTTGATCTCTGATTGGATGGCTTTGGTGAGTTGGTCGATGTTTTTGTTGATTTCATCGATGGTGGTGATGCGAATGTTCTTTATTCGGGGAGTTAGTTCGGTTTGGAACTTTCTCCAGTTTATACGTTTCCTTGCTGATGGTGGCCCGCACATTGAAGGTCGGGATGATAGGTTTAGCATCTGAGGGTTATGTATTGCTTAAATTATACTTACACCTAATATGGAAAATAGATTATATTTTTTTTTTTTTTATTAGAAAAAAAGGTATCGACATCACAGGTCATTAGCCTAGCTTGAATTAAGAGTACAAGACAAAAAATATTATAGCTTAATGACTACGGAAAGGGTTTTTACATTGTTAAAGTTTGTTTATGAGGTGGATTTGAGTAAAAAAAGAGATAATTTTAATAATATTATTTTCGTTTAGTGCTTCATCCATATTCGGTGGTATAGCTAGATTGTTTCTTGCGTCCCTGTACTTTGAGCAATCCTGGATGATATGTTGTATTGAGAGGTCGGCGTGGCATTCGTCGCAGGTGGGAGGTGGGTTTTTGTTGATGAGAAAAGTGTGGGTTGTGAAGGAATGTCCGATTCTGCATCTTGTGATGGCAACTTCCTGGCGTCTGTTGAGGAAGTACGGTGGGTTCCACTTTTTTGTGTCTTTCTTGACTGATTTAAGCTTGTTGGTAGGCGGAATAGCATCCCAATGATTTTGCCATCTAGCATGTATTTTACGTTTGATGGATGATTTAATGTAATTTAATTTATAATTTATATATTTATATATCACATAACTATAATAAACTGTCATACGTCTCAGATTAATACTGTCTGTGATAATTCTTTAACTAGCCCTTATATTTTTTAAGTAAAACAAGTGCCAATCGAAATAAATGGTTTATACAGTGAAAACTTTGAATAGCATTTATTCACTGTTTCGGGTTGAATGTTTTTTGTAGATGAAGATACTCAGTAAATTGAATCCAACACGTTGATAGGTTGACTTGAATTGGCATCCAAATCGGTAACAGCTTTACGTAACAATTGTGTACGATATAACTTCTTAAACTGGTGGATTACTATTTGGTCATGTGGTTGGCAATGAGATGTCATGTTAGCTGAAAAAACACAAGTTCAATATTTTTCATTTTTAAATGTGGATGAGGAGCCGCGTTGTCTAAAAAGAGTAAAACTTTTCTTTTATTTTGACCCATTCTGTTATCAAATTTCATAAGCCACTCGGTCATTATTTCAGTGGTCATCCAGGCTATTTTGTTCCAATACCAATCGACGGGAAAGTTGTTAATATCCAATTTTTTGAAGGCTCGTGGACGTTTAGCTTTGCCTATGACGAATTTCCGTTCAAACTCACCTACCATATTAAAACACAAGAGTACAGTTAAACGTTCTTTTGAAATTTTTCCTCCAGTACATATCTCATTTTTGAACGCCATGGTTTTTTTTTTTTTTATTATTGATCTATTTTTTTTTACAACCCTGCATCATAGGCCATTAGTTACAGTTTTTTTTTTGTGATACTTTTGTTACATAATTATATTTACATTTATATTTACATTATATTTGTTCTATTAAATTAATTGATTTTAAAAAATTAAGTATTTTCCTGTTTTGAGCGGGATCCGGACCGAGTAGTGAATCGAGTGTTTCTGTAATGTTGAAGTTTATTCGTTCCTGTTGCCATGGTTTTATCAGGTAGAACTCTATAAAACAATCCCGTTTCATCTGCATTGAAAATATTGCATTCTGCGTAATTTGCTATAATTTTGGGTATTTTTGATTTCCAGTTATCGGCGGCCTCTTCATAAACACTTGCTTCTTCACCGAAAACTGATTTAAAAGAATTATTATTTCTTTTCCGAAATTTTTCAAGCCAGCCATTTATAGAGCCTTTAAAATCAAATCCGTGAATCTCAGCGATTTGCTTACTTTTTTCTTGAAGCATCGGTCCTGAAACAGAAAGATTTTTGTTTCATAATTTTGAAAACCAGTTTAATACTTCATTGTCGATTACAGACGTTTCTGTTTTTTGTAGCTTTGTCCATTTCCGTTTCTCTTCTCCATTTTCAACCCAAGTTTTGTAAAGAACGTCTTTATTTGCTATAATATCCGCAATTTGTGTTTTACTAACACTAAATTTATCTGCTAATGAATTAACTCCCATATTTGTATTTGATGTTCGAAATTCCAGAATGACAATTTTTTCTTTTAGAGTTAATCATTTTCTTTTGCTGGCCATAGCGCATTACAATAAACGTTTGTATATTGGCATCACAAACACAACTAAACGTTATTTAGAGGTTTTCCTATACATAAATAGTGAAAGTGTCCCCGTCCCCGAAAAAACGACCGCTATTCGGAGGTGTCCGTTAAGGGAGGTTTCGCTGTATTTCAATAATAAGCGTTTATTCAGATTATTTAAAAGATAGGTCGTTCAATTTTATTGATCAGTGGTGAGGATTATTACATTTTTATTAGATTCGTTACCACATTTTATTTTCATTAGATATTAATTAGATTTTTTAATTTTTAAAGATTCTTACACCACATCCGTTAACGGCAAACGCGTTTTAACTGCCAACACCATGCCAGCTGTTAGGGCAAAAAAGACACGGATGGATATGGTGAAGACCACCGAGTAAGTCGAGATTTCGTCCTCGGCAAGCAGAAAAATAGTTTGGTACTATGCCAAAAATATTGATAATATTCAAGTTTATCATGAATTCCTCCGCTCGCTCATGCCTGAGATAACACAATTATTAAAAACAAATATTCAACAAGGGTCAAAAAAATTTAATTTGAAGCTCAAGCTGACATATAACCGACCAAACGTGGCTAATTCATCGGAGAATTCAAGACCTCGGGGGTCGAAATTTTTCCTGATAGTAACATTGTTGAGATTTTAGAGAGGGCGTACATGAAGTTGATGACAGAGGCAGAGGAGTACAAATCGAGATGGAGTGAATTTAACAAGGAGAGTATAGATGGACTATTGTTGGCGGTATATAAATATACACCAATGAGAGGGTCCTCATATGTATATACAGCTGCCGAAATGTATTGACAGGAAACGGGGCACAATACATTTTCAGAATACAGATCAAGAGTGTTTGAAGAGGGCAAATTCTAGAGACATGTGGCATCCAATTTATCGGATAAATATAAATCTCATATTGGGGAATTAATAGTCATCATGAGGACAAGGACAATTTCAGTGGTATTAAATTCCCTATGCCTCTGTCAGATATCACTAAATTTTAGAAAGATAATAACAACGTTACTGTAAATGTTTACGGAGTGAAAGAAATTCCAGCCACCACTCAAATACCCGACACATGAAGACGTGTATCCGTTACTTGTAATTGATGAGGAGAATACCAACCATTTCGACTTGTTGCTTTTAACGGACGGTAACAACTCCCATTAAATACGTGTACGTATAAAATTTTTCCCTTCTCATATGCAAGCAGAAAACCACGCACGATGGGCCTGTCGTGTTCTGCAAGAGGTGTTTTACGAGTTTTGATGATAGGCCAAGGAGGTATAAGTTGAGTGGACGCGAAGCACTGGAGCAGCATAAGCTGATTTGTGGGGCGCACATGCCTATATTACCAGAGATGCCTAAGGAGGGTGATTGTGTTGAATTTAAAAATGGAAAAACACGCAGATTTTGAGTCACTGCTGATAAAGACAGATGAGGAGAAGGGTAAAAGTACGAAGATAATACAGGATCACCCGGCAATGGGGTATGGATTTTTGGTGAAGGCAAGCGATGACGTACCAGTGGCACTTTTGGAGGAGTATGAGATACCAATGGGGCCGGTAATATACAGAGGAGATGAGGACCATAGGACGTGGCGGAACATTTTGTAGAAACGATAGTTGAGGTGGCCTAGAAAATCGAGGATCTAATGAATACAAATATACCTATAACCATGACTGAGTGCGAAGAAAAAACACATCAAGAGTAAACCGAGTGTAATTTATGTAAAAGTATAGCCAGCAGTGGTATTCTGTAACTCGATAAGGTAGTGTTGAAAGTGAAGCTTGACGGACTAATGATGTTAGCATTAATATAATAAGTAATAACACGACAATATGATTATGTATAAGTATAATATATAATAACGTACAACTGGACAATTAAACTGTGACTATACACACACACCGCGTACACTCGGTATGACAGCGTCTGTGCAAGTGATTATTACATACATCAAAGGCCCTATTTATATGAACAATCGAGGCCATCCCGTATCCGTATATAATATAGAAAGCGATAGTAAAGGTGTTACACAGCTATATCGTAACTGCATAAGTATCTATTAGAAAACGACATTGTACACGCACGTGTGTTTACATGGTTTGAATACTAATATTAATTGTATATTTCAACACCCTCCCTCAATTAATAATTTCTTTAATTGTAGTCACTCCTATGGCTGACCGCAACTTCTCGAATCGTTCCTTAACCAAAGGCTTGGTTAGAATGTCCGCAATCTGGTCCTCTGTTCCAATGTACTGTAGTTGGAATTGTCCTTCTTCGTATTTCTCCCGTATGAAATGATATCGTACGTCTATGTGTTTTGTCCTCTTATGAAACTCCGGATTCTTAACTAAACGAATAGCACTCTGATTATCAATGAATAATACTGGTTGTTTATCACCTGTTTTTGATAAGCTTATTATCAACCGCGTAATCCACATGATCCCTTTTACAGCTTCACTGGCCGAAATATATTCAGCCTCGGTCGATGACAATGATACACAATGTTGTCTCTGCGATGTCCATGAAATTATGCTCGACCCGTATCTGAATAGAAATCCTGACGTTGAACGTCGTGTCTGAACGTCACCTGCGTAATCTGAATCGCTAAATATTTCTAATGACAATTGTGTATTATGATTAAAATACAAGCCATAATTAAATGTTCGTTTGACATATCGTATAATCCGTTTTACCAAGTTCCAATGAGCTTTAGTTGGTTTTGCTAAGTAACGACTAGCAAAGTTTACTGCATATGCTATATCTGGTCTCGTTACCTGCGATAAAAACAGTAAGCTACCTACTGCCTGCCTATAAGGTATTTCTTCACTTAATATCTCCGATTCTTCCTTTTGTTCAATAGTATGTGATTTGTCTATCGGAATTGAAAGTTCCTTGGCGTCCAGCATATTAAATTTATTAATTATGCTACATGCATAATTTGTCTGATGCACAAATAATGAACCATTTTTCATTAAGTTTACCTGCATACCTAGAAAATATTCTAAGTTTCCCTTTTTAACCTCAAACTCTTTCTCCAAGTTCGTTAAAAGTTTCTCTATTATCTCTTCATTATCTGCCGCGATTAAACCATCGTCAACAAATATTGCAAGAATAATTTGGCTGTTATCAGCTTTGAATACACATGCATCCGCTTCGGTACATTGTAAACCAAATGCATTCAAAAAGTTCTTAAAGCGTATATTCCAACATCTTGGACTTTGTTTTAAGCCATACAAACTTCGCTGAAGTTTACATACTTGATTTGAGCCATCTTCGTAACCTGGTGGTTGTACCATGTATATTTCTTCCTGTAGTTCCCCGTACAGAAATGCTGTCTTGATGTCGAATTGTCGTAATATTAACTTTTCCACAGCTGCTACTGCGAATATCGCCCTAATTGATTCGTATCTGACCACTGGCGAAAATGTTTCATGGTAATCTATACCGTATTTCTGTGAACAACCCTTAATGACCAATCTGGCCTTAAATTTATCTATACTACCGTCAATTTTATATTTGGTTTTGAACACCCATGCATTTCGTAATGCAACTTTATCCTGTGGCAAATCGACTAGAGTCCAAGTCTGATTTTCGTGTAATGAATTAATTTCGTCGTTCATAGCATTATTCCATTCATTTTTGTTTGACCCAGTAATTGCCTCATCATAATTCAATGGACTGACACAGTTAGCAATAAAAGTCTGAACATTATACCTGTCCGGCTTCTTAAGTGTATTCCTGTCACGTAGAACCATAACATTTCTATCATCGACTATGTTTTCGTCCTTCTCACGCACGCCCGTTGAATTAATTTGAGTGTCTGTAAACTCTAATGTGTCTGCAATTACATTTTCATAATTATTACATTCGTCTTCGAATATAATGTCTCTGCACACGGATATTTTATTTGTTTTCGAATACCATACACGATAACCTTTCGTGCTGTTCGAATATCCAACAAATATTCCTTTTTCACTTTTTGGATCCCATTTCTGACGTTTTTGCTTTGGTATGTGTGTATATACCGCAGTACCAAAAACTCGTAAATGTTTAATATCTGGCACGACTTTATAATATAACTCGTAAGGTGGCTTACCAATCTGTGAACTCGTTCCGGTTAGATTAAGTGTATAAACCGCTGTGTTCACAGCTTCTGCCCATAATGACACGTCAAGATTTTTCGCACATATCATTGTCCTGGCAGCTTCTACGATTGTTCTGTTATCACGCTCGACTTTCCCGTTTTGTTCCGGCGTATATGCTACCGTAGTTTGGTGTCGTATGCCATATTTCTGTAGAATACCTGTAATATCCTTGTTTACAAATTCTAACCCATTATCTGTCCTTAATATTTTGACTTTAGATCCTGTTTCTGTTTTAACACTTTTTATAAATGTTTCCATAATATTTTTTACTTCATATTTATTCTTAATAAAATATACCGTTCTGTAATGTGAGTAGTCATCTCTAAATAATAAAAAATATTTTGACATACCGATAGAGTCCCTCTGCATCGGTCCACATAAATCTGCATGTATTAAATCGCCGACGTATATAATATTCGGTCTCACTTTTACTGAACGATTGACGGTGTTGTTTCCCGATTATGCAGTCGCTGCATACAAATTGATCGTCCTTGGCTGAATAATCAATATTATGTTTTGCCAAACAATTCCTCACGTATTGAATATTCTGGTGCGCTAAACGCTTATGCCATACTTCTAATCGTTTTTCTACTGCAATGTTCGCATAACATTCAGCTTTCGATGGTGCTTCAACTTTGATCTGTAATTCAAACAACCTACCGCATCTTGTGCCTATGCATACAGGAATCCCGTTTCTTTTGAACACACACGTTTTATTGTCTGACGTTAGTTCTAAACCTTTGTCTAACGCTGACCCGCACGAGAATAAATTAAATTTTAATCCCGGCACGTGCAATACATTTGCCAAGTAATTTCTATTCCAATTACCGTTCACGTATGATAATATATTAATATTACCTTTTCCTGTTGCATATAGATTTGTTCCGTCACCTATTGTTACCTGTTGTGTATATTTCAATGGTTCATAACTTGTAAACCATTCTAGGTTCGCGCTCATATGATCCGACGCGCCTGAGTCTAAAACCCACGTATCTGTTGTAGTTTCATTTATCCTTGACTCGCTTACAAATGCATTTAAATTTGTACCTGTAGTACCGGTTTTCCCACCTTTCATACTACTTAGAAAATTCTTACAGTTTCTTTTATAATGACCAATTTTACCACAGTAATAACATTTAACATTACTTTTATTAGTAAATTGTTTTTTACCTTTACCATAACTGCCGTTTTTTCCATCGGATCTGTTTTGAAATTTGGCTGGAAATGCACTCGATTTCTCTTGTTCACCAACTTCACCTTTGATCTGGATAACCCGTGATTCTTCAATCAACAACCGACTAGTTAAATTATTTATATTTTTACTTCCCGTTGGGACTGAATCCCAAGCACTGTAAAAATGATTATATTCTTTTGGTAATGTCATTAGTATTTTTGTCATAACCATGTTATCCGTAACTGGTTCACCCGCTACTCTCAGTTTCCTTCCTAAATTGACCAATTTAGAAATATGCGTCGACATGTCATCTGTCGACTCCTTTGAATAACTGAAAAATTGTTGTTGAAGCAAATGTATACTTGCCTCAGACTTCTGCTCGTAAATACTCAGCAGTTTCTCCCACATTTCCAATGCAGTCTCACAGTTAATCAAATATTGTAATGGACCATCGTCCACTGAGGTAACTATTATTTTCTGACATTTACCGTCCGCTTTTTGCCAAGCGTTTGTCTGCCTTTGCCAACGTGTCTTGGCATCCTCGTCGGTCTCTCCTGCCGACTTTTTTATAGGTAGACTTGGTTTCGTCCATTCACCTGAAACTATCTCACCTACTTCCAAGGCATTTAGAATGACCTTCATCTGGAATTTCCATAACGACCAGTTTTCCGCACATAATTTTGTTATCTTCACCGTGTCTTCCATGACCGATGATTTCCCGTATACTTGACCTGTATAACAATTTATAACAAAACTTTACCTATGTACACTGTTCCGCCGTTTTTCCGAAATCCAGGATATCTCCGACTGGTTGTAGTTTTCTGCGTTAATACAAATATAAAAATACTTCGATCACGAATCCACTAGACTGTTTGTCTTGGTTATTGACTGGGCCCATAACCTGTTGAAAGTGAAGCTTGACGGACTAATGATGTTAGCATTAATATAATAAGTAATAACACGACAATATGATTATGTATAAGTATAATATATAATAACGTACAACTGGACAATTAAACTGTGACTATACACACACACCGCGTACACTCGGTATGACAGCGTCTGTGCAAGTGATTATTACATACATCAAAGGCCCTATTTATATGAACAATCGAGGCCATCCCGTATCCGTATATAATATAGAAAGCGATAGTAAAGGTGTTACACAGCTATATCGTAACTGCATAAGTATCTATTAGAAAACGACATTGTACACGCACGTGTGTTTACATGGTTTGAATACTAATATTAATTGTATATTTCAACAGGTAGCTTAAAGACAACTTTTGGTTCGTTAAGCTAACGGAAATTCTCTTATCGAATGTAATCGATAAAAGTGATTCTGTACTACAGTTATTCGTTAACCTAACAACTATTTTCGTTAAAACGGTCGATAGTAAAAATAAAATATCGTTAACTTAATACACACATCAAGACCCCTCGATAATACTTACCGGGGATGGATAAGAGCAATAACGTCATATTTTGTGTTATCATTGATTTACTATCGTAGTTATTTACAATTTTCAAAATTTCAATATTGAATTTAGATCTCGTGAACTAATGTGAAGTAATTATTACAAGTATGACTTTTATCTTAGATAGGCATGGCTCTAGAATTTTTAAGGTGGGAACTTATGGTGTTAGAAGAAAGAGTTCGTTTACAAGAAAGGCGTATTGAAATAAGGGTTTTGAGAGATGAACAAAATCCTATTGATCTCCCTCTCGAAGAATTTATATTTATGTTCTGCATAAGTCAGGAATTAGAATTCGACGTCATAAATATTATTAGGCCTTTATTCCAAAGTCAACGTTCTTCAGGGTTATCTCCAGAAGTGCAAGTAAGTTAATTTAATTTCAATGCTTTGATTTGACTAAATTTTTGATTTTGATTTAATTTAATATTAATGTTTTGTTTCAGTTCCTAGTTACTGTTCATTTCTATGCTCAAGGTAGTTATCAAAGAGGTTTGGGTAGTTACTCTATCCTCAACATAAGCCAGCCATATGTGAGTAGGTCCATCAGTATTGTCACAAATGCTATAAACCAGTGTCTTTTGAGCCAGTGGGTAAAATTTCCAATGACAGCTTCTGAAAGACAGAAAGCCAGAGAAAAATTTGAAGCAGCACCCCAACCTTTTGAAGGCACTTTAGGAGCGATTGATTGAAAAATTTTCCAGATGCTAAATTTAGATGTTGGAGCATATAATCAACCAAATACTCAATTTGGTCATTATTTCTTCGGCCTTGCCTCTTTCTTTTGATGGGAGGTCTACTATTACTAGACATAATTTTAAAAACGAAAAAGAACTTTAAGAACTTAAAGATTTGACCGAACAAGACTTATCAACAACAGACAAATTAGAAAAAATTACTATTTTTTATTTTGCAATGTTCATATAAGTAATAATAAGAAAAGTAGCTTATCACCAATCATCAGTATATTTTTTGATTGATCAATTTTATGAAAGTCTGAATTATTTGATAAGGTTAACGAAATTGTCGATAGCACAAAAACCATTTTTGTAACGAAAAATTACGAATAACTGATGATACAGAATCGTATTTTCGTTAACGAAATTTGATACATAACGTGCAACTCAAAAAGCACTCGTTAACGGTGATAAAGTTAGAGATCATGACCATCTGACGGGCAAATGTAGGCAGACCTCGTGCTCAAGGTGTAACTTGGAGTTACAAAAGCTAAATTTGTCCCAGTATTATTCCATAATCTCTCTAACTACGACTCTCACTTCATAATCATTGAACTTGGTTATGATACCGTTGGTTATCAACGTTATCCCGAACAGTGAGGAGAAATTTATATCTTTCTGGAAATATATAATTAGTACCTTCACTGTTCGGTTTATCGATATGTTCAGATTTTCGAGTTTTTTTCCATGGCTGAAAACTTGATTACACCTGAACTAGATAACTTCTATTTTGTCACCGGAGATATGCCGCTCATTACTCGAAAGAAGGTGTACCAGTACGAGTACACGGATAGTTGGGAGCGGCTGGAAGAGACAAGATTACCGAGCAAGACGAGTTTTTATAGTACGTAACGGAGGCCGGGATAAAGGAGAGGGAATTTGACCATGTGAAGGAGGTCTGGGACGACTTCGGGTTGAATGCGTTGGGCGAGTACAACGATTTGTATCTCAAAATCGATGTGCTGCTATTGGCGGAAGTGTTTGAGAATTTCAGAGACCTGTGTATGAAGACGTACAACATGGACGCCACCCATTATTTTACTGCCCCAGGACTCAGCTTTGATGCAATGTTAAAGTTAGGGAAAAAGTGTAAGTTGTTGGATGAATACGACATGTTATTGATATTTGAGAACGGTCAGTATATTATTTTTATTTTTAAAATGTGTATATAATAATAATCTTATATATATATTTTTTTTAATAGGTATGGGTGGTGGATTGGTGCAAGCGAGTAGGAGGTACGAAAAGGCAAATGATGTAAAGACCCCGGATTATGATAAGACAAAGGACAAATTGTGGATTATATATCAGGACTGTAAGTATATATATTTTTTATTTTTTTTTCAAAACTTTAATATTTTTTGAATTTTATAGGTAACAACTTGTATGGATGGGCGGTGTCTCAGTATGGTGGATTCAACTAGGTTGAACCCAACTTGAATGGATTGAGTGATTTGGATGACACCTCTCCCTAGGACGAGTTTACGAGGTGGGTGTAACATACCCACGACACCTGCATGACGGAAAAAATGACCTCTCTTTCCTCCCGAAAAATTGTATTTCACGTGGATCTAAAATGTGAAAACAGATGGTGACATTCGAAAAGGAGACTAATTATATTGTACATTACCGAAACTTGCAGCAGGCCATTAAAAACGGTCTTATAGTTGAGAAATTAAATATTTATATTTTATAATATTTTAAACAGATTTTTAACATTTTTCTTATTTTTACAGGTACACAGAGTTAACCAATTCAGCCAGCCAGATTGGCTGGCGAAATATATAGATTTAAACACTGGGATGAGGAAGAAGGCGAGGAATGCATTTGAGAAAGACTTCTTTAAATTAATGAACAACTCTGTATTTGGTATGTCACTTTATACTTTTTTTCTATTAAACATTTTTACGAACGTTATTCTTCCAGGTAAAACAATGCAGGCAAAACGGAAGGAAATGAAGATGGAGTTAGTGTCATGTGAGAGGAGCTTGCAAAAAATGATCAATAAGAGTACATTTCAGTACTGTACCTACTATACTCTTTTCCACGAGAGAACGGTACCGGCGGCCGACCAAAACGCGTCCGCCGCAGCGCATCCCCCACCAACTATCAGTTGTAAGCGTGATCACGTGGTCGTCCAAGCACCAATCGAATAATTTTACATGCGCGAAACGGTACCGTTCTCTCGTGGAAAAGAGTATAGGTACAGTAAAACCTAAACACAGTCACTCTAGAGAATAAGATGATAACATTTGATAAACCCATATATATTGGTAAATACAAACTTTTTAAAGTATATAATATAAACTTTTATCATACATTTATTAACACAATTTTTTTTTTCTACAGGATTTGCAGTGCTCAACATCAGCAAAACTTAAATATATGACTACCATTATAATGTCATGCAGAGGCATTATGGAGATAAAATAGTACACTGATACAGGTAAATATATTAAAATTATTCTCGTGTATATGCATAATATATTAATATCATTATTACAGATTCACTAGTGTATCACATCGAAACTGAAGATTTTTATGCAAACTTGGCTGCTAATCGCAACTTGCTGGAACGGATGGACACTGCTAACCTGCTCAGTGACCATCCGTGTTATATAGCAGATAGGAAGAAGTCCTCGGGATACTTTTCCGATGAAGTCGATGCCTTCAGTATTTATGCGGGACTAGAGGATGAGGATAAAGATGAAGAAGACAGAGTAGGGAGGAGAAAAACAAGGCAGCATGTGGTTAAAAACCACCTGACATTGGAACATCATAGGAAGTGTTTGTTTGAGGAAGATGGATTGGAGCCTTGAACTGAGAATGTATCGATTAGATCATTCAAACATCAACTCGTTACAATCAAGACTAACTAAAAAGATGACATACAACAGTTATGATGAAAAAAGAGTGGTGCTAAATGATAAAGTACATACATTGGCCCTTGGTCATTATAGTATAGAGTAAGTTTTTAAATAATTATATATATTTTTAAATATTGTACTGATTTTACTTTTTAATTTTGTAGGGAAGATGAACCCGAGGACGAATGACCAGAATACTTGACTATGAGGTAGATGCTGAAGGACGGAAATGGACTGATGTAGATAAAGATTTTATGAGAGTGCTTCTTCATCAGAAGACTGAATAATACTATTTTAAAAACTGTATATGTTTTAAATTTGTGAAATTCATTTCACATTTTTAGTTATTCCGTTTTAAATGTATATTAATAATGATAATATATATTAATAATTTTAATGAGTTCAGCGTTCACTACTGTACACGGAATGACGAAATCGAAAATTGTTTTGTTTTTATTCAACGACGACGATGACGATAACGAACGACGACAAAATGCGAAATGCCATGCTACCACAGAATAAAATATAATTAATGTACATTGCCGCCGCCGACGACTACAATGCTACTGTACAGCAGTAGACGTAGGAGTAGTGGGGGTTATACCGTCGGCAGCCGGCGTCGTCGATGAATGCCGCTATGGCGCTATGTAACAATACGGCAAACTTAATACTTCTAATAACTATTTAAATTGTTAATTTTTTGGACTTTTCTCTTTTGATGGCTCATCTGCACACCTAGTACTTGCGTTAGAAAAAGAAATCATGAAAATCGGTTCAGTAGAAGTGTAGAACTTCAGATATAACTGTCATAAGAAATCGCCTCACGTTTCAATAATATATTAAGATAAAGATAAGTATCAAACCCAAAACGATATCACCCTTTCGCTATCTTTACAAAATATAACAATAAATGTAAGACTCTCGCGGTACCAACATGTCACACAAAAATTTTAAATTGTATATATGACAAATCGCCCGAACAGTGCTCTTGCAAATATATATGTTTGAAATTAGTTTCATCTTGTTTGGACAATACTATTAGATTTTTATTAGCACGTATCAATTGTTTAGCCACTTTTGAAACGAATGTCTCTTCGCAGGAAAATTTTTTTGTCAGATCCATATCCGTGACGTCACTGTTATCTATGCACGTCTCTGTGATACTATTCTGTATTATTAGCAATAATATAATAATATTAATATCATTGATTAGATTTTTCGTCTTTTTAATAATTTAAATAATTTTTTTGTTTATTATTATTAATGAATTATTATAATGTTTAAATGTGAAGTTTGCGATTCAGATTATAATTCTATATCCGGCTTAAATAAGCACCATAGGATTAAACATGAAAATGTACCGAAAAAAAACCTGTTAATAAGAGCAATATATATTTTTGTAATGACTGTGAAGATTCATTTTATTTAAAGGCAAATTTGATTAAACATGTCAAAACTCATTTAAATGGTCAACGGTTAAACGGCTGCATACTAGTTGCGGTCATGACGATTTTTGAGATAAACGGATATAACAGTTGCGGTCACGCCAATTTAGGTAATATCTTAGTTGCGGTCATAGCTTTATTATACTCCAATTCTTCCATAACACGAACAACCAATGCATGCGAAAGCTTTCATTCAAAGCTCAATAGCATGTTTTACCACTCTCACCCTAATATTTTTATATTTATTGACGCTTTAAATGAAATTCAAACGAATGGATATTTAAAAATGAATTGTACAAAAAACAGTCGTGTTAATAAAAAGTCAATAGAAAAAGAGCATTTTTTAGCGCAACAAATACAGTATTATGAAGAAGGCGAAATAAATCGGCTTGAATTTCTAAAGTCGATTTCCTTTAAATTTATACCAACAAAATTTTAAAATTTACACAATTTATATAATAATAATTATTTGACATTATTATACATATTATATTATATTATACTTTGACACAAGTTTAAACATAAGTATCAACATTTTTAACCATACATACACAATAAATAATAGTGTAGACAGTCCTAAGTCTGTTATCTTTTCGATATAAATGGGAAGGAAAATGTTGATTTGATGTTTGATATTAATTTC